TAACTGTCATGAAAAAATAAATTATATTGAATATATCTTTGACTTTGATATGATTTCCAGAAATGTAGTACTGTAAAAAGAGTTTTAAGATTATTATTAGGAATTCAATCCGGACATTATAGCTTTACTTTTAACCAATTAATTAAACAGCACTTGACATTTTCATAAAGTCAATTTCCTCATGGCATAATGACAGTTACACTAAATTTTCTTTATGCGTCTGTCCACTTAGTCTTCAGCCGCTATAAATATCAGACCAACTCTGACTGTGGGCCATCTTCAGAGAGATTTGTCTGTAGTCACAGCAACTGGCCACTGTGTGGAAGAAGGTAAGGATTGTGGCGAGCGCTTTGGGACTGCTGAACTTCCTGCTGCACACAGAGTCTAAATGACAGAGATTCCAGAAGAACCTGTTACAAGAGGAACAGAAACTTGTACCAGGAAGTAATGACAAGGCGCTCACGCTGGTATCCCCACGCCAAAGTGAATCTTCCAGACCATAGGAGAATCTTCTAGATATCCCAACTCGATATGTCAAATCAATTTATGTAAAATGAGCTCTAGGACATCTTAAGTCAGCCTGTGAAATCTAAAGGAAGTTTTCTTACAGTACAATTTAACCGCTGTCCCCTTCCATCACATCAGTCTTCCATGAAGGTCACATCAGTGTCATTCATACAGATATTCACAGAATGAGTGAATTTTTTTTATGCTACTAAAAAGAAGAGTGCATTTTTATGGAAGTAAGAGACCTGCTGTCCAAACTTTACTATCTAAGTAAAATGTAGACGAAACAATTAAAATTCAACCCTAGAATAACATACTAATTCTACAAAATATCAGTTCAATCGAGAAAAAAACTTACAAACTGATAGATGATGGGTTAATACTTGAATACACTATACAGCTTGGGGCTCCAGTGTTTAATGAAGTACCTGAGAGAGATTTATTAACAAATACTTGTGATGTAATTTGAAAAGTTCTACTGTACATATATGAAGGGCAAGTATACTTAATTTTTTTAGTGGTGGCGAGATAGCTCACCAGACTAAGCTCCTGCTTAAGCAAGCACGGAGACTGGGGCTCTGTCCTCAGTACTGCATGCCGCATGGGCCCCACCTAAGGCTCTCTAAGCCAGCCACCGAGACTGGGCATGGTGGTGCATGCCTGTAATCCCAGCCCTGGGGAGGCTGAAAACAGGAGGATCACTACAAGTCTGAGCTATGTGGTGAGACCCTCTACCACTTAAAAAAAATTGGAAAGGAAAAATTTTAAATGAAAGGAGACATAGCATTAAAATACAAAAGCAATTTACTAATTTTTCGAAAGACTTGTTCCTACATTCAAAACTTTATGGTGGAACAATTATATTTGAGTAGACATTTTTGCTCTGGCTTCAGAGGATAATAAAGAACAGATTCTACACATTCATGCTAGAAATGTAAATACATGACATTGTGATAAAATGGCAATCCCCACAAATGATAACTGACTTTTTTTGTTTCTTTATTATGGATCATCCAGTTATAGCTGTTTCGTGGGAAATGCAAGTCATTTTCAACTTTTCAAAGAAAAACAAAATATTTTTAACCTATGAATATTTGTATTTTGTCTTAATAGTAAAAAGAACATACTTTGAAGGAATCATGTTTAGTGAAGAAATGGTAGCCTGTCTTTCTAAAATGGAATGCTTGTGTTCCCCGAGAGCCCCCCAGCCACACACTACGGAAAGATGCACGCGAGTGGTGTTTATTATGCTTGAAAAAGCAACATATCACTGGGACACCTACCAAGGTGTGTTGACAGCTCTGCCAAGAATCTGAATTGTTATGTAGTAACTTCAATAACTTTGAGAAAGTTAGATAATATTAGAGTCTCCAATTATAGGATTTGTGAAAAGGAACTTAGATATCTTTCAATTGATAACCATTTGTGTGAAAAGAATTTCTTCCTCCACTTTCTTGTCCTGAAATCTACAGTGCATAGTTGATGGACAGGGTTGATTCAGTTATATTATGTTATGTTATGTTATGTTATGTTATGTTATGTTATGTTATATTAATTATATCATACTCTACATGTTCCAGTCTTCTTGGTGGAAGAGCTACCATGCAAGACTTCCCGGGCATGTTTGGTTTTTTAGCTTTGCAGAAAGAAAGCATTGTGCAGTGGAGTGAGCCCGTCCTCATCCTCTGCCAAGACCAGCTCTCCTCCGGCAAGAAGTGGGGCCCAGTGACTCTTGTTCCTGATGTGCTTTACTTATGTGAAGAGCAGAAGGCCGTTTCACCTACCTCCTCACAGGCGGTCCTGAAATCCATGTGCTGCGGCACCTCAGAAGACGTGGTCTGAAAAGACAGAAACGGGAACCATTTAGCAAACACCCAGGTTAACAGAGGACACCTGCGACATGTAGGAAATTGCGAGGCAGCCGCAATATGGAAACCGTGTCCACAGCCACCTATGGAGAACAGGACACAGCAAAAGGAGGGGAGGTGACGTGGAGTATGCACATGCTGTGGATGGCGACAGTGGCAGTGGAGTACACGCGCCTTCCCACACTCCTGTCGGGGCTCCAGCCCTGCAGACAGCTTCTGCAGCACTAGCGACCTCTTCTCCCAGGGGTCTGCTCCCTCCCACCACTTATTTTGAAACCTGAGTTTGCAAAAGGGAAAAAGCTCCAGCGAGTGTAATTAAAAGTTGCCTTTCATCTGGTTATCTCTTGAAAAAGGGTTGACTAATCTTTCTCTTTTTAATTAAAAACATGCACGCATGAATAATTCTCCCTGGAACTCAAAAATTTTATTCACACTACTACGATGCGGAGGCTCAAGCTATTTATCAGAGGATGTAATATTATGATAAATCAATGTATGAAATAGTCAATACCGATATTCATTTAGGGAACACTAAAATACCTAAATGATGGATATGGGTTTAAATCATAGAGTGGTTTTTTTCTTTTTAAATTCATTTAGAGAGCTTTGTTTCACTTTAGGATAAACATACCAAAAGTAAAAGTTGTCACATAAGTTGATATTCCTATACTACAGAATAGTATGCGCAGCCAAAATATAATGTTTAGCTAAACGAGACTTCACAGTAAGATATGTGATTAGTTTCAAAATAAAACCCTGCACCCCTCAAAAGCAGTGCTTCGCTCAGCCTTGGAGATGGTGAGCCGTTTCGTCCCTCTCTGCCACTTATTTGTTATAAGAGACTAAAAAATGCTTGCTCAGGAAAGTGTGGTAAAAAAGAGTGGGAAGTGTCACCCAAGCTGTCACTGCATGGATGGATTACTACTGCTGGCTCTGAAGAAAAAGAGATTGGCCATTTTCAGTAGTAACGAACATGTCCTTTAGTAATATATTAAATATTTTCCCTGAATAGGCCTGGTGGATTGTGAAACCAGTTTTATTTTACTTCGATTAATATGGTTATTCCTTTAATCCAGAAGTAGGAAATTTTCTGCATTTATTAATTATATGAATGTAAGAGAGTTCTAAAATGACATTCCTGCTACACGTAATTGACCACAGAAACGGATGTAAAGATAGTAACCAATTACCTAAACTCAGCCTCGTATTTAATCTCACATGCTATATTTAACCTCAGTGTATACATTTTTAAAGATGTGATTAATTTTTAATAGTATGACCCATACTATTAATTTTTAATAGTATGACCCATACTATTAATTTTTAATAGTATAGAATAGTGGTTTTATCTATGACAATATCATTTTAGCACATCCTGTTTTAAAAGATTAATCTTGCTTTCTGTTTTGTCAAAACACTATTAACATCAGTATTTATTCAGAAAAAGATTATAATGGGATGCAAAACATTTACTTACTAGGTACAAAA